CTCCACTGTTCGAACAATGGAAAATTGCTACGAGGAATAATTTATTGCAAGATAAGGATAGTCACTATATATACTGTATTACTCAACACCTGCACTAATATTATTATCAATAATATTAATTTGTGAATGACCATCTATATGTATGTGGACAACATTGGAGAGGTAATTAATCTATTGTTCAATACATTAAATCACAACTAATCAATGTTATTTCTTTAGACTCGATGGATCAAACATGAGTAAACGTGAACCATCTATGATGTAATATTCTTAAATAAAAACATTTTTTATTTAAATTTTGTTTTATTTATTTATATTTTAATATATATATAAATAAATAAACGACATTTAGACACGATTTTTTTTTGTTATTTTTTTTCTTTTTAAATATATATATATAATAATTTTTCCAATTTTTTATATTTTTTTTCTTTAAAAATATATATATATAATAATTAATATTTCATCCCCTCCATTACTTAATTAATTTTTATTATTTATTTATATATATATTTTAATAAAAAAGTTTTATACTTTATTTATTTAAGGTTGGTATTAACGGATTACTATTTTCTAGTTCCCCCCAAGGACGAGTTTTTTAACTAGCAACTGACCGTCCCCTGGATACCAACTTAATGTTTTGGAGTTTAGTGCAAAAACGAACATCCCCTGTTCCTCAATCGAAACAATGAGCTTAGCCGACGTCCACTTTTGCTTTCTCGCAAAGAGTTTATGGTAATTCCGCCCGCGACAACGCTCGTATTCTTTATTTTATTGCAATATACAGCCGTACACAAATATAGATACACGTTGTATCTACTATATATTTAGTATATATAGAGCGTGTTCGTAATCTACATACAATGGCGCACTTTTGATATTGAGATCCTCGATCGTCGAGCCATAAGTCGTAAACACGTATAAATCCGATGTCACGCATTTTGTCGTGGGAATTGCTCTCTCGCTCACTCACTCACTCTTTCTTATGTTTCTTTCTTCAAAAGACAAATCAAAACGTGATGCGAATACGAAATTATTGACCATATCTAAATTCTTTTTTTTTTATAAGTTGGTATTAGTTTAAGATTCGTATATGTCAGCGGTCGGGGAACTTTTTTAACCATTACCCCAAAATATTATTGCGTAAGTCGATATTAACCAACCCCCCCCATTCTGAATAGAAAACTATCAATGTAAATTTTAAATAAACATTATTTATTGCAATTAATTTGCATTTACATATTTATAAAAAAAAAGTTACATGAAAATAGTAAACAAAATAAAATTCTTAAATTGGAACAAACAACCCCTTCAGGTTTTGGAAACATTATGTTGCTTCATGTTTGATGTAATTACTTTAAAATTGGGACTTTTTGATGTAAGAGCAATTTGAATACAGTTTAATCGATTTCTGTTGTTCGTTTTTATGTTCATTAGAGTGGAAAAGCCTTGTTCACAAAGGTAGGTTGTTGCAAATCGCAGCAATTGTTTTACCGCCTCCTCATGTGCAATTTTGAAAGCCTTTGCAGCCTTTGACAACCAAAAAGACGACAAGATTTGTTTTGGTCTCAAATTGAATACAGTATTGGATGGAAGTTCAAGAATTGCCTCTGTCAAACCTGGAGGTTCTGCTGGTATGTTAGTAATTTCACATTTAAAAGGATCTACAACCCAATTCACAGTTTGTACATCAAGATCTGAAAAGTTTGGTCTGAGTTTGATAAGATGAAATTAGAAAAAATTCCCTATTACCCAAAAAAAAATCATTTTTACCCCATTTTTGGTAATTTACCCCGGTTCCCCGACATATACTATATGTCAATTCATTTAGTTTATTATTTAAATTAAATTGAGTTGGTACTAAAAGTTTAAAATGTTTGACGTTTAGATGAAAAGTCACTAAATATGTAACGTTGGTTGCGGCAAAGCGAACAAAAAAAAAAGTGTAGTGTAGGATTTATTGCGTTGATGATGAAACGTTTCGTAATCATATGGTAGAGCGAATTATAATGGAGAAAACAAACATTTATTCGCGAGATGAGAGGTCAAGAGGTCGTGCCGCCGCGATTTCAAATTGAAAATCCAATTGATCGTAAAGAAACAAAATTGGGAAAACATTGCAACAACGCAAGAATTACACTTTCGAAAAAAAACTGTAGATTTGGGCTACTTCCGGCTCAGTCAACGTCCACTTTCGTCTTACGGTGGGCGTCGGATTTTCGTACTCATTAAAAAACATTTCTCAACATTTTTTTTTTGTTTCAAGATGTTGGCATTTCGAAGAAGATATTTTGTTTTATAGAAAAAAAAAAACAAAAAGGTGTCTAGATTGAAACGAAAGTGAGGTAACCGTAACCGGTAGCAACGGCAGTAAATAATCCAATTAAATGGGGATCTCGCAGCGGGGGTGGATCATGAGATTCGTGATTGGGATTCACCAAATTTGGACCGATAATAATCATCATCATCAGCATCATCATCTTGCAAAGCCCCAGATTTATTTACTACTCGGTGTGGTCCTCTCTCCAACAAATCCCGCGTGCAATCAATTGATTTCAATCTCGCGCGTTAAGACGTGAAAAGATTAAAGACCTCACAGATACTGCATATAAATTTACTTTGCTTTTTGTTGTTTTCGCTTTGGTTTCAACTAAAATGTAATTAACTTAATTCATATCTAATGGCTTCTTCTTCGGTCGCCGCTAACTACCCGAAGATATACAACGTGGAATTGCAATGGCTGTTGTTTTGTTGTTGTTGTTGTCATGGGAACCGCAGGTAGGAGGAGGCCATTAGCGCCGAACGCAATAACTCATCGTTACCAATAGCGATATTAATTGATTCCGGATTGGTTTAGAAAGTAAATAGTAGATTACTTAATATTATTCGATGTAAATGCGAGTTACTGCAATCGTTGATATATAGATTTCAGTTCTCTCCTCGTGTCGCAGATAAATAAATAATGAAAGAAAGAGAGAGATAAAGATAGGAGACATAAACGTATATCTGAATAATTTTCTTGATTTAATGGAGTTATAAATGCACACGGGGCATGATCTGAATAGGAGATTAAGATCGTTTACGTTGCCGGAGCGGCAGTAAATACGGGTGAGAGATGATCTCTGATCCGACTTTTCTCGTTCCTTTTCTCCATCCAATTTCGTTCTTCAGTTATTGAAAATTGTCTGTTTGATCACGTAGATGGATGATCGAGTGGTCCACGTCGAACGCGCGTAATTTGTTTACCATTGCTATGGTAACAACATCATCATCATGATGATGATTGGTTTGGATGCCTACCTTTTCTGTCGAACGGCACCATCTGGCAGTTGTCATCTTCGCCGATGGTGCATCTGTACACGGCTCCTCCTCTCCTCACGGTCGGTTGATAATCGTTTTGAGCCTCCGGAGCTCCGACGAGGACCCTGAAGACAAACACAGTTACAATTAACAATCTCACAAAGAAATGACAATCAAATGACGTTTTGCAAATGTCATTAACGCAATGGCGACGGATGCGAACAGCTGATTAGCAAATATGGACTTTCAAATTTGACATTATAAACGTCAAAAAGGATGAAGAACTGCAGTAACTCTTTTTGTAGTTATATCATTTTACCCGAAGGAGCAATAACAAAAAATATGAGATTAAATTAAAAGATTAAATTAGTCTTTCCAAAAAGTTTATTTCAAGATTTGTGGAATTTCTCATTTTTCAATAAAAAAAATATCAAACTTTTAAAATTTTTATTTATAATTCTTTGTTTCATTTTTATTTAATTTCTTGATAACTATGTACGTCAATATGCAAATTAAAGATGAAACTTTAGTCTTTCCAAAAAGTTTTCTTCCAGATTTGTAGTATTTCTCATTTTCTCGATAAATACGTACGTCAATTGCATCATCAAATATGCAAATTAAAGATGAAGTTAAAGTCTTTCCAAAAAGTTTATTTCAAGATTTGTGAAATTTCTCATTTTTCAATAAAAAAAAATATCAAACTTTTAAAATTTTTATTTATAATTCTTTGTTTCATTTTTATTTAATTTCTTGATAACTATGTACGTCAATTAGATCATCAAATATGCAAATTAAAGATGAAACTTTAGCCTTTCCAAAGTGTTTTCTTCCAGATTTGTAGTATTTCTTATTTTTCAATAAAAAAAATTACAAAATTTTTAAATATTTTATTTATAATTCTTTGTTTTATTTTTTTGTTGAACCTTCACGTTTTATTTAATTTCTTGATAACTATGCACGTCAATTAGATCATCAAATATGTAAATTAAAGATGAAATTATAATCTTTCCAAAAAGTTTATTTCAAGATTTGTGGAATTTCTCATTTTTCAATAAAAAAATATCAAACTTTTAAAATTTTTATTTATAACTCTTTGTTTTATTTTTTGTTGAACCTTCACATTTTATTAAATTTCTTGATAACTACGTACATCAATTAGGTCATCAAACATGCAAATTAAAGATGAAACTTTAGTCTTTCCAAAAAGTTTTGTTTCCAGATTTGTAGTATTTCTTATTTTACAATAAAAGCATTTCAAATTTTTAAATATTTTATTTTCAATTATTTGTTTCATTTTTTGGTTTCTCGATAACTACGTACGTCAATTGGATCATCAAATATGCAAATGAAAGATGAAATTATAGTCTTTGAAAAAAGTTCATTTCAAGATTTGTGGCATTTCTCATTTTTCAATAAAAAAAATTCAAACTTTTAAAATTTTTATTTATAATTCATTTTTTGTTGAACCTTTTATTTAATTTCTTGATAACTACGTACGTCAATTAGATCATCAAATATGCAAATTAAAGATAAAATTATATAGCCTTTCTAAAAAGATTACATCCAGATTTGTAGCGTTTTTCAATTTTATATAATAAATTTTCAAAATTATTTATTAATTTTTGTAAATTTTTATTTTTTATAAGTTACGTAGATTAATACTGTTCAATTAATATAATCTTTATACAAAATGTACAAACAATAATTAAATATTTAAGTAACTGACAAGTATTTGGTAAATTACTTGGCAAGTGCCGCGTACTGAGGAATTGAACACAAATACTTTTATCAATTTACATCAATTATGCAACTCGCAATTATACTCAGATCTAATCTAGCACGTGTCTCAAGATCCATGCAATTAAACAATTGAACCAAATTAAACTAACTGAAAACTTGAAATGACAATCAAATGACGTTTTGCAAATGTCATTAACACAATGGCGACGGATGCTAACAGCTGATTAGCAAATATGGACTTTCAAATTTGACATTATAAACGTCAAAAAAGATGAAGAACTGCGAAAAAGTAACTCTTTTTGTAAAATAATAAGATGAAAGGCTTTATTTAATTTCTTGATAACTACGTACATCAATTAGGTCATCAAACATGCAAATTAAAGATTAAACTTTAGTCTTTCCAAAAAGTTTTCTTCCAGATTTGTAGTATTTCTTATTTTACAATAAAAGCATTTCAAATTTTTAAATATTTCATTTTCAATTATTTGTTTCATTTTTTGATTTCTCGATAAATACGTACGTCAATTGCATCATCAAATATGCAAATTAAAGATGAAATTAAAGTCTTTCCAAAAAGTTCATTTTAGGATTTGAGGCATTTCTCATTTTTCAATAAAAAAAAATCAAACTTTTAAAATTTTTATTTATAATTCTTTGTTTAATTTTTTTTGTTGAACCTTTTATTTAATTTCTTGATAACTACGTACGTCAATTAGATCATCAAATATGCAAATTAAAGATAAAATTATATAGCCTTTCTAAAAAGATTACATCCAGATTTGTAGCGTTTTTCAATTTTATATAATAAATTTTCACAATTATTTATAAATTTTTGTAAATTTTTATTTTTATAAGTTACGTAGATTAATACTGTTCAATTAATTATAATCTTTATACAAAATGTACAAACAATAATTAAATATTTAAGTAACTGACAAGTATTTGGTTAATTACTTGGCAAGTGCCGCGTACCGAGGAATTGAACACAAATACTTTTATCAATTCACATCAATTATGCAACTCGCAATTATACTCAGATCTAATCTAGCACGTGTCTCAAGATCCATGCAATTAAACAATTGAACCAAATTAAACTAACTAAAAACTTGAAATGACAATCAAATGACGTTTTGCAAATGTCATTAACACAATGGCGACGGATGCGAACAGCTGATTAACAGATATGGACTTTCAAATTTGACATTATAAACGTCAAAAAAGATGAAGAACTGCGAAAAGGTAACTCTTTTTGTAAAATAAATAAGATGAAAGGCTTAGAACAAACAGTTTATAAACAATGCCCGGACATAAACACATCGATTGGAACAGTAGTCGGTGGAAAGGTTTATGTTCGAGATGCAGAAGATGAAGAAACGTTGGTGAGATGAAGAGAGCGAGCGAGAGTAAGTGTGTGTGAGAGAGAGAGAGATGCATATTCTCTCGGTGGGTGGTGTCCCCTCACCTACTACTCTGTACAAGAGGTAACCATAGATACGCCATCAACGGGCCATAAAGATAACCGCTTTATGATAACTCTCGCGCTGCCCAGTTCTCCCCCGGGGCTTCGTACTTTGTATTCCGATTCCGTGGACAAGGAAGAATCTTCAGAGATGATTAACATCTAGTAAAGAACGATATATGTTAGCGGCATAGTATAAAAGTTTTTGTTAATTTTACACATTTTCGTTGTGTATATTTGTATTATACAACATAATTGTTTATCGACGTTGAATGAATAGTTAAATACTAATAACGCGAAAGCCTTGTGAATGGAATCCATCTCGAAACGGAATCGAGCCAAGGTCGCCGATCCTTATGGTACGTTTCGACCCGAAATCTGCTCTAAACTCGTACATTTTCCACACAATTTTCATCCACAATCAATCGGATTTTCGATGAAAGTGCTAAAAGTGTTCACGAAAATCAAAAGTGCGTAAACAACAATATAAAAAAAAGAAAAAAAAGAGCAACGTTTGGACTTGTCATGGCATTTCACCAAATACGGGTTGTCCACATCCCTTCCATTTCGAGTTACGTCACCGAAAACGTGGGTTCATTTATTTCTTCGTCTCTTTTTTTTTTCCACCCATAGCACACTACGTTTATTTATTTTATTTCTTTTGCATAGGCGTACCGTGACCTTATTAGCTAAGGTCGCGCCGCGAATACGACCGAACCATAAGGAATATTATATAAATTTCCTTTCATTCCTTTCCAGCTCTGGATGCGCTTTGATTGTATTTTTATTTATTTTTTTAAAGGTTATTAGGTCATAAAGTGGGTCAGAGTGGAGATCGATTCACGGAGGTGCGGCTGCAGAACGCGCTGATCCCCTCATCCATCAAATTAACTTGTCCCCCTAACTGCATCATCATCATCATGATAATGTGATGCATTGTTACGTAAATTGACTTGTACTTTCTATCTATCGCTTTGATTTTACGCTTGGAACGATACGAAAACGCGCCATAATAATTATTATAATTATTATCAACAACAACAACAACTTCCAAATCCAATTTCCTTCCTTCCTAGAACCACCGTCCACGCAACATAAAACGTGACATAACCACAACAATTTAATTGCACCCATTCAACACCTACAAAAACAATATTACCATAGCAACCATCAATAAGAGCATCCATATTGGATTCAGTCGCGTCAAATTGTGACAGATGTCAGTTGTGTGAAATGATTAAATTAATAATGATACCCGCATCACTTGCATTTCGTAATTAATGCAACGGACTCGAATCTTTAAACACCTTGAATCTGTTACGTTCACGAGTTATGCAATTGTTTCGTTACAATAATATTTATTTAGTAAAATTCATCGAAAACAATTGTTACATCATGATATCACCATGACAACGATAATCAGGACTAGGTTAACGCGTTTTGTTTCGTTCTTATGCGTATCTAGATTCTTATTATCGTGGGTCACCATTTGGAAATCAATGTTGTTTAGTAACCGGAGTGTGTGAGAGAGATACGGGTGTAGGTGCGAATGGTAGACGTAAAATTACGTAAAAGAAAGAAGTTATGCCTCCAACTGCCCACTTTAATCGCAAGTGTTGTGTTTCATTTCGTTTAATTTCGAAGCCCCCACGAAAATGGGAAAGTCCGAAATTGTACAATCGAATCGAGCAATGTTTGCATCTCAATCGTGTCACGCATTTAAACGTCATCTGTCAGCTGTCATTTGGTTGACGTATGTCGTATCGATTCGGAGCAGCATTCATCTCCAAATACACGATTCCAATAAATCAAATGTGACGGAATTTCCGTTCTCGACAATTATCGATGCTTAAGGCGCGTTTGCTGCTGCTTCTTCTTCTAATTCTTCTTTCAACATTGCAAGAAGAGGGAAAAAAATAGAGTTAA